CAAGATCTGTAAAGAAGTAATCATGACGGAGGTTACTGTATAAGATTAAGTTATACAATCCCTGCGCGATTATCACAATGTTTTGAATAAGGTATCAGCTATTAATATTCAGGTATGAAGTTACTAGATATATGCCTAATGTTTATCCTTCTTCGGCATTTGCGCCGAATTATTACATTACGGTAATTGTGTTATATTATTATTAAATCAGGACGTATTTGCATGACAGCATAAATTAGTTGAATTTTAATTGACTCGTTACGTTTGCCGGTGGCTTTTACCGAATTATCATAGCATTCTGTTCTGAAACATCTGAATCCGGAGCGCATTCGTTGCATCTGTGAGGCCATAACTGAAGACCATTGTCCCACTCGCCAGAATCTAGTGACGCCCACAGTTGCCTGAAGTCTGGACAAGCCGAGGTGAGCAGAAACTGGCCAGGCCTACTACAGTCAAGCACATATCAAAAGGAGAGGCCAAGCTGGGAGCTGCGACAGTAACCAGCGAAATGCTTCCCAGGGGACCGTTGCCGTCAAGGTGAGTTCTAGCACATCTATACTAGGTTCAGATCATTCTGAGTAATCGTTACTTAGCGATGGTAAGGCCATAAATTAGACTAGTAATGTGCTTGGCCTCTTTTCGGCGACTGCTACAGACGACAAAGGACTTACTGTGAGTCATAGGTATCCTACACATATTATATTAAGAAGATTGTATACAGAGGGCCCCGCTTTTCGGGAACTGGTGTTGGGAATCAAATGAATTGGTGCGGCTAAGTGGTAGTCCCCGAGTTGTATGTGGAAGCATGTTTATAGGTTTTCAACGTGCATTGCCTATTTGTATCGTGTGGAACGCAACTTACAGCAACAGTGGCACTGTGAAATGCCTGAGAATTGTGCAGTTGCTTTTCAAGTTTAGGAATTGTTCTGCACACGTATCGTGCCTCACAGAAATTGTATTCAGGGCAGAAAAGGGCCCCCATATTAACACCGGGTCTCCTTACTCACTGCACTAAGGAATTATTTTTCCAATGACGATGTCGTTAAAGTTGCCGAGAAACCTCGCATAAATGCATATATTTATACTTAGCTGTGAAGCGCTTGCATATGTTGCAAACATCACTCAACTCATTTTTATTGGCTACCCTTTCATAACATTTGCTTCTGCTAAAAGTCTAAATGACATTAACTTCTCATAATGGTAGGGGCTAATGAGCGATTTTTATCGGCCCGAATCGACGCCGAAGTTTTGAAATCGCTCGAAAAGATCGCCCGGTGTGCCGTGGTGAGGTGTTTGTTTTTTCTTGTGCGGATTCACAGTCGACGCCGATTTAATGCGGCCGATCCGAATCGCTCCGTATCCAAAAATTTAGATATTTTGTCGGCGGTGAATTATTTACGCGCGGGGCGATTATTATCGCTCGGTGTGCCGTGACCGGCCCTGGCGCGTATTTTGTCGCCGAAGTCGATTTTTCTATACCAATCGGACGTGTTGTTGATATCATGTGACTGTTAAATTGTTCTGTCGAGTGGCGTACGCGTACGCTCTCAAATTCGCTAACGTCACGTGTCCGCCCTTCGTGATCGGGCGATAAAAATCGCGTACGTGTGCCCCTTCGTGATCGAGAGCCGATTGAAATTCGGCTGGCAATTTTAATCGCCGCGATCGGCGATAAAAATCGCGCTCGTGTGGCCCCTAGCATTACGAAAGTAGCAGCCACAGTGCATGTTACACATCCGGGACAACAGCGATCGATGCTACTTGATGAATGATTCTATTAACAGTTCCTTTCTATGATAAAACAAGTTATTTATTATTCGATGTTTATTCAGTAACAAAATTGTGAAATTTGTTTTAAATCATATCGTTATAATATATATATATTACTTATGCAATCGGGAAACAAATATAGTGTTTTTGTTCCAGGAACTATTTGCGCTAGCGTAGGGCTACTGTGTAGCTGTGTAACATTACCGGTGCGTCGGAGCGGATTTTGAAAATCCGAAATGTTTGTAGCAGCTTCTCTGGCTTAATAATAGAGAACATTTCGTGATGTTTGCACACTGCAAGTATGCTCACAGTAGGTCTATATAGGCTTTTTGTTGTGAGGTTTATCTATTTTAAGCACGCATGTCAGTTTATCCGAGACAAGATGCAGTTAGAGATTACCTGTATTATAAAAATATCTGCAGCTGGTGATTTCTCTTTAGTTGAAGTTGAGTTGCTAACAAGGAACTATCCCACCTAATTACATATTCTATTCTAGGTGCAGTGCAGGCCACCCTATTGGTGAAGCATCGTGATTCAGCGGCAGGCCTTCTTCTTGAAGAAGAGGAGATATCCCGACCCGGACCGAAAACGAAAGAAGCCCTAGAGATTCTAATGGGATTTATGGTATACAAGAGGGTGGCGCAGCAGTGAAGGGACATGCCTGACACACATGCACACCTATAAATTAAACTGGAATGTGTTGAAATCTTTTATATTGTGGATTTATTATACATTAATTACATATAAACTAAAATAGAGCCGCGCTGTGGAGAATGCATATTGTTTTGTTAGCTCAGCCTGACGAAGTGGATGTAGGCTTGTAGAATCGCATGAATGTGGTCGCGTCCCGTCCATGCGTCAACAGTTACGGCACAAATCTTAACCGCGCGACCTGCGATCTTGATATTTGGGACAGTCGGGGGGATCGCGAAAGGGACTCGGATGTCGAATTTGGGGGTCAAAAGTCAAGAATGTGTCAATGCAGATGGAGGGGAACATTTCCCGCCTTAATTTAAGGGTATATAATTAGAGAATAGAGGAAATGCGGAATTGCGGCACCAAATCTCCACACGGCTCGACCTACGCTTTTAATTATTCGATGTATAGTGTGATGGGGAGGAAACCCATCACCCAGCGCGAAATTGGGTCACAGGTCAAAGGGCAGTGGGGAAAGGTCAGAATATCAGACATTTTCTGAGGACCATCCATGGTCTAAGCGGACCGCGAGTGCAAAACTTTTTTGTTTCAGCACTGACCTAGTCTACATTTTTAATCACTTGATTGAAAGGACCGTGAAATCTACTTTCCGCTGACAGTGCGAAGAGGAAGTGTCTGATAACCTTTTGACCATCAAGAGGAGGGTTAACATGGATTTGTTGACTGTTAACAAAGGATTGGACTGCTTTTGGCTATAGAGCCCCCCCTCCACCCTCCCCCTAGACCCCACCCTCTCCCCACCACTAGCGCTCACCGCTCGACCGCATATCCATGATAACGTTAATATAGCGAAGTCATAAAGTTACAGACTATATCTTTATTACTGGTACTAGCCAGTATAGCAAAGCCTATCAACGCGGTGGCGGGAGGGCGCACCATTGATTCGGTTGCCAGTGAGTTATCAGAAGAATACCGCGGCTACAGTACCACGCGTGTTGAGCGCTGTCGCTCTACGGCACTTGTTTGGTTGTATTTTTCTCGCGTGATAAGCATACTGGAAAGGAATGGGCAGCGATCAAACTTGTCGCACACAGCTAAGCTTCATACGTCCGTGTGACCCAATCCTCTCACCTCTCGTTGTTGCCCTGCTGGCCATGACCATGTGTTCCACTGGCAATGCTCCACAATCATACCCTCCCTTATTCCTGAAACGACGCCCATTTATTCCACCAATGCTACCAAAATCCTCCAGCCTTTCTGCGTTGCTGGAGGATACCATAAGTTGTAGCAACGCCATGATCAATGCTGGGCTGAAATGCTAACGATGCGTCGTCTTTTGAAGGCAGCAAGTCAAACCTTCGCGTATCAATTTAAAACAACGTACATTTATTCGACCAATGCTACCAACAATTCCTCCGGCTTTTCTGCGGTTGGCGCAGTGACGATGCCGGCCAGTCAGTTGCAGCAACGCATTATAATATTGCTAAAATCACGTAATATTAAATTAACTTAATTAATAATAATTTTATTAATTAAATTAAAATTAAAATTAATTAGTAATTCCTAAAGTACTGTTGTCTCTCGCAGGGCAGAAGAGTCGCGCGCGGGCCGACGAGGAGTGTCCGGCACTCGCGTCCAAGTTCGGCGACTCGGCAAGCTCAGGCGAAAGCAGCGGCGGTGACGCTCGGCGGCGTTCGGCCCAGGCGGCGCCATGCCAGAAAGCCGTGTCGAGAAGCCTCGTTTGGCCGCTCAAGGTCCGGCGAGCTAGCGACATCGTGTCGACCGAGCCTCCGGCGCTGCACATCATCCTGAGGACGGTCAGTAAGCGGCGACGAATAAAAAATGAAAACAGCCGTATGAGCGTGCGACGTCCTCTTGTTTCGTTTGAGCGCGACGCCGTATGAGCATGCGATGTCCTCTTGTTTCGTTTGAGCGCGACGCCGTTTGAGCGCGACGTTTGTATGAGCATGCGACATCCTCTTGTACATTGAGTCGCGAGGGAGACATGAGGCGGTGCTTGTGTTAGTGGTCTCTTCCTTAGTTGCTACCTGGCATCATATTACCTCAGGGAATTTCATAATTTACGCATGCCGATGTGGGGGTTATGAAATTCCCGATGATTATAGCCTATTGCTGTGGTAATGAACCTGGAAATTTACTTATCGCTTTTATTTGCGAGGGAATTCGTGTAAGAGTACGTACATATTACATATTAGGTGTTTATGTTGTGTAAAGGCTCACACATAAGCTTTAAATATATTAATTATGTGTGTGGAAACGCGGGTCGTGTAGTATATTGCGTGAATGTGTATGTGGCGTCGTGTGTGATGGTATGTCGTATGAGTGTGTGTGTAGTATGCTGCCTGTGTGAGTGTGCTGATGTCGTGTGTATATGTTGCATGTATGTGAGTGTGTGTATAACTGTGTACTGTGCTATGAGTGCTCGTGTCATACTGTGCCTGTGTGAGTGTGTGATATATGTGTGCGTGCGCTGCACGTCGCTGGTGCTAATGTGCTCGGCATGTATCGTGAGTGTGTGTATATGTTGAGTGTGTCTCTGTATGTGTGTCGCGTGGTGTGAGGTGTAGTGTGTGTATACTGTGTGTGTGCTGTTGAGTATGCTGTGCGCGTGTTGTGAGTGTGTGAGTGTGTGTGCGTGTGTGAGTGTGTGTGCGTGTGTGGTTGGCTCGTGTGGCGTGTGTGAGTGTGTGTGCGTTGTGTGAGTGTGGGATCGTGTGTGCGTGTGTGAGTGTGTGGATATGTGTGCTCGTGTGGCATGTATGAGTGTATGTATTTGTACCTGCGTGTATAGTGTGTGTGTACGTGGCCGTGTGTGAGTGTATATGCGCTGCCGTGCGCGTCGTGTGATGTATATGCGCGTGCGTGTATTTGCGTGTGTGTGTGTGTGTGTGTGTGTGTGTCCGTGTGCGTGTGTGCCTGTGTGTGTGTGCGTGTGTGTGTGTGCGTGTGCGTGTGCGTGTGCGTGCGTGGGCGTGTGTGTATGGGTGTGTGTGTTATTCGATGTGTTAGGCTTCCACTGTAGTTGAGAATCTGCTATAGGATTACTACAGAAGTTTCCCTTATAGTTGTTTATCTCTTAGCTATATTTTCGTCACTGGTATATCATAGAGTTCAAGGTGGCGGTCAAGAAAATGATGAAGGTGACTGTATTAGGCATTAATTTTACACTAAATTCGGCCAAGCCAATCAGCTGTGAGTAAAGTTATTTGATTGAAGTTTTCGATCTTGGTCCTGATGTACTTTGTTAATATTTTGGTCTCTTTGCTAACATTTTAGCCCCCGTTACTTTTTGGGAAAAATGAAATGCGAATAGATTTGTGTGTGATTGCTTGGCAACACGCTATTGCACAGAAACGTATGTGTAACGACTATATTGTCGAGTAGCGGTAATTTAATGTTGCACAGAGTTGATGTAGAAAGATTTCAACATGTTTGAAATCTGCAGCTTTGCACCAGTCAAATAATAAACGAATGGTCAGTAGATCCTTTATGCTGTGTGTTCTTGAATTATTTTGCTGTGTGTTCTTGAATTATTTATGTTTCCTTACCAAATTTAATGGTCCGTGACCCTTTACAAGTATGTAACGCTATTGTTGTCCGTTGCATTCTTCTAGTACTGCTTATAGTATCGGAAAAATCATAACCCGTAAACGTACCGTATACTGCATACATATAATAGAACATATAATAGAACGCGTCCTCCTTACCCATGCATATGTGCTTGTTGGCCGCAAGCGGCTGGCTGGCTCTGCGTGCATACCTGCCTACATTCGCGTAACCACTCAATGTTATAGAGAAATAACACACAGAAATTTCGAAACTAGCCTTTGATACGTCTCTTATATTTAACATTCATATAGACGTGGTAAAGTTTGAATAAAGGATTATTATGTACAAGTTAGATTAAAATGTCATACGAATGGAAAAACTAATCGGACTTTACAAGCCCGTGTGATGCTGTTCATTACGGTCAGTCTTAATCACTTTCTGCGTTGGGACCATAGAAATCATATAGATAACTAGTCTATCTAAGTCTATCTATATTATTTCTATGGTTGGGACACACATAGTACGATGTGAATAGTACTTGGTATCTAGCAAACGGATCCTATGTGGACGTATATGTAGGAGTTCGATAATCTGTAATAAAGTAACCGGTCCATAGTGCTGTACGGGAATCATGTATATATGTAATACCAAATACTATAGAATACATAAATACGTCTGTAATTTAAGGCAAATTCATTCGATTTTAACAACTAATCAGCGATTGGTGGGCATACTAGGGCTTGATACCGTTGGCACAGTTACTTGGCTTTAACTACCGATGCGGTTTTGGCACATTTGTCCACTTAAAATTTTAGGACAAAAAATTAAAGATAACTCGGAAATCCCGGGAATTTTAGGCAAACGTATCAGCATGAATATGTCCATCCGGATAGTGTCGTATGGGCGTTATAAGACGACTTGACACACAACACTACGTCGAACATGTTACTCCATCACCTAACAATTTACTATCACCCTCTAATTTACTATTGCGCACTGGAATCGCAGTCGGTTGTCGTAGTGACGACGCCCTGATCGTCAGTGTGTGCTGCTGTTGCCTGGGTTATCACATCAGCTTCCCTATCCCCTTCATTATGTTGGTTACCAGCTGTAACTACTGTCTCCTGGTCTTTGATGATATCTTCATAGCTCGGAGGTAGCTCGTTGTTGAGATATCCGCCGTTGTAGTATGCTTGGTTGGAAATCTCACCGTCGGGAACTGGCGGATTGGATGGTGTCGCTATGGCAACTTCGTAAGAAGGCAGGTCCGGAATCCTAGTGGCAGAGGTGAGAACGACTTACAGATCGTTAATCAAATTTATAATAGATTGTGACCTATTAGATAATATAATTATGAAGACGTCGACTAGATAGTTGAGAGACCTGTAGCCATAGAAATGACAATTTATTTAAATGCCATAAATAACCTGATGGATGGATGGATGGACGGAGGGACGCACGCACGTACGGACGCACGGACAGACAGACGGACGGACGGACGAACGGACGGATGAACGGACGGACGGACGGACGGACGGACGGACGGACGGACGGACGGAAGGATGGACGGACGGACGGACGGACGCACGCACGCGCGCACACACGCACGCACGCACATAGATAGGTAGAGCGAGAGAGAGAGAGAGAGAGAGAGAGAGAGAGAGAGAGAGAGAGAGAGAGAGAGAGAGAGAGAGAGAGAGAGAGAGAGAGAGAGAGAGAGAGAGAGAGAGAGACGATGAGAGCAGCAGAGAGAACCAGAGGACACAATAGGGGCTACGACCGGAGAGAGAGAGAGATAGAGAGCGAGAAGAGAGTAGAACAGGAAGAGCTATGAGAGAGAGAGAGAGAGAGAGTAGACGAGACGAAGAAGAGAAGTAGAGAAAGTAGATAGAGGGAACAGAGAGACATAGAGAGAGAAAGAGCGGATTTGCA